CATGAAGATGGAGGTGGCTGCACAAGCAGTAAATGAAGAACTTTTTAAAGAACTCAGAAATCCAGGAACAGTTTGTCCAAGTCTCTAAGTTTACAAATGGAGAAATTAAAGCTCAGGATGAAAAAGAGACAGTGCTGACCAGAGCTAAAGAAAAAAAGAGAGAGGGGGGGGAGAGAGAGAGAGAGCGAGAGCGAGAGCGCACGCGCAACAGAGAGAGAGAGACAGAGAGAGAAAGCAAGAAAGAAGAGCTGGGTCTCGAGGCATGGCTGTCACTGCAGCGGGTACACCACCACAAAGCTTTGTGCCATCTTCTTATCTCTACAACCAATGTCCTCCCCAAAAGGCTAGATTTCCAGGAGCCCAACAGGTTACGGACTTAAGTCATTCATCACCCCCAAAAGGATACTTCCTAGAAATAGAAATGGATTCGGAGAGGATTTGGGCAAATCTGTGAATGACAGAACAGCCATAAATAGCTACTAAGAGAAGCTGGGCGCCACCTGACCTTTAGGATTGACGTCAAGGAAGATAGCTGTAGCCTCCTATGGTGGCATCGCAGGGCCGGAGTTGGCAACCAAAGACTAGGTCAGATGGATCTGACCCAAAATGGCAATGCACATGTTCTTATATGGCCTGACGTGGAGCACCCAGGCCTGTGAATTAGAAGGCAAGTGGAGTTCCTGGTCCTATCCATTTATAGCTATGTGACCTTGAACAAGTCACTTAATGTCTTCAAAGCTCATTTTCCTCATCTGTAAATTGGGGCCGATAATGGCCCACAATCCCTTATCCAAAACCCTGGGGCACTGCAGAAATGCAAATTGTTCAGAAGTTAGAAAGGAACCATGGGACTGATAGTGTTTGCCCAGTTCCCGAGGAGTCAAAGGAAGCACTCTGTAATCAAACACATTAATATTTTTGCGGCAAAACATATGAATATTCAAAATAGGCAGGATAAATATAGCCTCACATCAGTTCAGCTCAGGTTTTGTCACTAAATGAGTTTGCTGCAAACTTACACAGAACCTAGCAGCTTTCAGCACTTTTCAGACTTCAGAGTCACAAATGTGGAATGATGGGCCTGTATCCCCTTTGGGGAGGATGTGAGATTAAGAAAGATAAAGTCATTAAAGATGCTCTGCAAAGGAGAAAGTGCTACAGCTGATAAAGGTCATAATTAATATTATTGCTGTTGCTAATATTATTCCACAGCATACTCATTTCCAAACAGAACTTGGTTTGATCTCACAGATGCCTTAAAGCTGGTAGAACGAGAAAAAGGGACCAAGAGCTCAGGGCAACTTCTAAATTCTCAAAAATGGCCAAAACCAAGGTCAGTGGCTACTGGCCCTCTACATGGTCAACCACTGAAAACAGGGCAGCTGGCCACCTGAGAGAGACCAGGGCACAGGGCCAGGCGGAACTCTGACATCTCGACTACGGGGCTCAGACGCCCAAAAGCTGGGTCCAGGGAGCTTGCGGGCTGGGACCACTCTTTGTGGTTCCTGAGCACCCCTGCAAGAACCAGGCAGGAGTTCCACCTCTGGGTGTGCAGGACACCCGCTGCAGCTGTTGCACGGGATTGTCTGTAGAAGACCCAGAGCTCCTAGGAAACCAGATCCCACTCTGATCCTGCAGCACTGAATTCAGAAACATATTATGACCAGGCTATATGAGCCTAGGGAGGGAGACAGAGGGCTAGAAATGAGGGCTGTGTTCACACTTAATTCAACCATACTGTTCCCTGGAATCTTCTCACATGTGTATGTAACTCTGAGAATGAAAAGGTGCACCTGGCCCACTTGAGCAGGCCCCTAGAGTAGTGGATCCAGACAAGCTTATGTGCAGAACTGCTCCAGCCTTTCAGAGAGAGAAAGAGAAAGAAGAGACTGAACCTAGAGAGTCCAGTCTTCCAGAAGCTAAACATGACCCTCCCAACATCACCCTCCCTCCCTCAGTCATTATCTTCTATAACATGGGCCTACTCGGGTAGGTTTTGGGGTCCAGAACTTGCTCCTGCATCTACCTGGAGAATGCTGCTGCTCAGGTGTTCTGACTGTTATGATTTCCTCTCGATCCTTCAGGTGAGTTAAGTGCCATTTGATTTACTCCAGTAGTGCCTTTGACTGGTTTTTTCCATCCATCCATGATACCTTTGACATTGCTTTTACATCTCGAGGTGCACTGCAGGGACCACGACTTCACTAAATTTCACTCCCACTACCTGTTATGCGTACAGGCTCCTCGCTCACCAGCCTGGGGCCAAGTGATGAGGAAACCTATTGAGGGGATTCCATAACCAGCTCTTCTTCCTGCATCGCTTCCCAGCGCTCTCCGCTTCCATCCTCTCTGTGACCCTCTGCTCCCCAAGAAGAAAGCCGCAGTCACTGCAAGGCACTTAGCCTTTACCACCACTCTAGCCTACGGGCTTAAAAACAAAATCTGTAGCCTGTTACTTCATCATGTTCATCACCGTTAAGTTAGAACCAGCTCCACAGTCTCCTGACGTCAAAATCTCCAACTCTGATTATTTTGTCTTGGCTTTTTGTTTTTACGGGTAGTTGGGATGTGGAGGGAGGAACAGAGAACAGCAGGAAATAGGGAAGTAGCACTTTAATCCGGGAGCTGTGAGGGAGAGGGAAAGCAAGAGGGAGAGGGAAAAGGGAAAGGCCTCCCACAAAGTGCTTCTGATCAGGGGCCAAGGGGCCGCCAGTCTGAGTGAGGGCCGAGTACGCCCAGGAACATTTTGTCCCCTCCTCGATTTCTTTAGACCCTCAGAACTTTCCACCCAAGGCACTGCCCCAGGCTCTAGTTTCTTGGGTTGCAGCAGCTTACTTTCCACTCTCAGTCAAAAGCACATTCTCCAAGTCAGCAGCCCGCAGCGTGACACCAAGGATTCCAGGACCACAAGGACAAAGACATTCTCCGCAATGCCCCATGGCCAACACAACCGCGGTGGAAGGCAGCTCAGTGGACTCTACACAGTAGAACTCAGAGCCAATGGAGGTTATGCTGAGATGAGACCCAAACAAGATGGGGGATAGAACGGTTAGTTCTTCACCTTCACTATGTGCCAGCCAGTGACTGCTCCAAGGATTTCTAAGATATGATTTCGTTAATTCAGCACTGCACCTTGCCGACCACCTCCATTTTAAAAAGTGTAAAACAAGGCCCAGAAATGTTGCGTGACTACCCCAAGCTCCAGTTTCACCACTCTTGCTCAGTGGAGGACCCCACAGCCGGCCCTCAGCCTCGCCCCGAAGGACCGAGGGTCCCACAGAAGGGGACCTTAGAACTCGTGGGAGGATGATAGCTTTTGTAGCCCTCTCAGGTAAAGAGAAGCGATCAGAACCCAAGGAGAGCCAGAAACAATTTACTTTCCACTACAGCCCATTTCCCATAGTTCGTAACTGAAATAATTCACATCCGGAGATGATGATAAACCTACCTGCTTGACTTTGGGGAGGGGGTTTCCTCTTTAGGAAAGTTTGAGCAAAAACAAACACAACCTCAGTCTATTTCTGAGCTGTACAGGCATGAAGACACACCTTAGTGGCGGTTGTTTTTCGCACCCGCCAGAAAAAAAATCGGCTACATTTAGCTCAGCAGCACTTTCCACAGGGTAAGTCAGTCTCAGAGCCACCAATTAAGCACTGTCGGAGCAGGTTCCGGCTCAGCTTGGGGCACTCAGACAAATCTCCAGATGCCTTCCGTCTTCCCCAATACCCTCTCAGTTACACCCCCCCCCACATGAATGAGAAATGGAGGAAAGGGTGGACAAAGAGGGGTGCCGAAGTAGAGAATCCCCCAAGACCAGCCAAGACGATACACTGGGAAATTTTCTCACAATGATGACAGAAACTGGGTTTCTCGACACTATTCATCAGACCCAGGGACTGGAGGGTAAAATGACGGGCATGTCCTTATGGCCGATGCAGGTGAACACCAAACCCACTACTGATTCCCTCCATATTTACTCCACTTCTGATGAGCAATTTCCAAAACCCTCTGTTCTACAGGCACGGTCCTCTTCAACTGAACGACTACTCCAAGAGGCAGCAAAGTACAAGGGGTTAGGACCTGGCTCCTCCTCCAGCTCTGCCTCCTACATTCTCTGTAATCCTGCTAATGGTCTCCGTATCTCCCCACGTAAAAGGAGGACACTGCCTATCTCAGACGGTTGTTTTAACAAAAATGTGACTCCACGTAAAGCATGTATTGAACCAGACATGTCATAAGAGCTCACCGGATGGTTATTTCACAGAGAAGGAGTCAGAGGCCAGAGGGACGCCAATGCTGGCCTGAAGTGGCATTTAATTCAACGTGAGCTGAGATGCGAGAAGAATACGGCTCTGCAGGCGGCAAAACCCACTCTCATGCCCATCCTTCCCCCTGAATTTAAATCAACTCCTTCTGAATGTGTTTGCAGGAAAAGAGAGGAGGGACAGGGGAAGCCATGTTCCTGGTGATGAATGTTCACCAGGAATGACGTTTGTTCAGAACCTGCAGCTGCTCTTGTGGTCTAAGCAGCACCAGCCCCTCCTTCCCTGCTAAGCTGCAGCAGGCCTGCCTTGGCAGGAACCACTGATGGGAACCTGGGTACCTTAAACCTGGCAACATGGCCATATCCACGCTATGGGAAACCTTAGTCCTCAATTCCACTTTTTCTTCTCCCTCCCTCTACTTTATTAGTCACTCCAGACAAAGGAGAACCACCTCAACAGCAGAACAAGAAAATGGGAGCCCAAAAGCAGAAAGAAGGAAGGGCCCAGTAAGAAGCTAGGCCCATGAGTTCCCCAGTGCTTAGGACAGATCCTAGGACCCTCACCACACTTAGAAAGCACACCCCCAGCCCCAAGACTTAGAAAGAAGTGTTTTTTTAAACAAATAGGGAGGGTGGGGAGCCAGGCCCCAAGCCTCAGGAGCAGCCATGTACGAAGACAGTGTGCCAGGGCCAGCAGTTGGGCCTGGATGTCAGGTGGGGCCGGCGAGGGACCTACCTGTGTTGCTCCACAGCCTCGTTGTCAGGAAGCTCCACCCCACACACACTGCACTGCTCCCCGATGGTCCGGCTCTCCGACTTCATGCCCACAGCCAGCTCACCCAGCTTGTTGAACAGCTCCCTCTGGATGAAGCCCTGTGGCAGCAGACCCCCATAGGTGCTGAAGTCCATGGAGACGGCCAGAGTGGGCTGCACGTGGAGGCCAGAGGACACTGAAGACGGCATACTCAACACGGAGTCAGCCTTATGGTTGGGCAACACAGAGTAGATGCCCAGATGTTTCTCTACTGTGGGTACCGGGTGTTCCGGTCGGCCTGGGGGACCCTGGCCAGCCTCAGCTGGGGGTGGCAGCTGCTCAGCACTCTCCTCACGCCCATAATGCAGCTCCCTAGCACTGGTGATGACGCTGCTCCGCGTTGGGGTCCCGGGCCCCTCTTTGCCCCTTTCCTCAACCCTGTCCCCCATCCCACCCGAAATGCTGGACTCAGCTGTCCCAGGGCTGTCCTGGCCGGGCACCTCATCGACCTGCATCATCTCCGTCTTCACCTCAGCCACCCCAGGGTGCCGCCCACCCCCAGCCAGAGTTGGCTCCTCGGGCCCTACAGGCGGCTGAAGAGTTCCCTGCAGGAGAGACTGTCCTATGGTCATCAAACTGTCCACTGCAGCCTTGGTGGGACTCATGGCTGAAAGGCCAAATGAGGTGGAGACTGACGGGCTCTGGTCTGTCACGGGCCCAGGGAGGCTGTGTGCAGCCACGCTGGCATACCCACTCTCCTCACTGGAATGCTTTGAGATGAAGATGTTCTTGAGGTACCGAGCTTTGCGGTCCTCCTCTTCCTCTGCCCCACCGTCTGCCATGGTGGCCTCTGTGTCATTGTCATCTGTGGCCTGGATGGTCTCCAGGATCTTCAGGCACTGTTCCTCCAGGTACTCGATCTCCAAGATCTCGGCCGCGTACAGCAGGTCATCCAGGTCCTCCGCCTTGGCTTGCAGTGTGGCCGTGTACGCATACTCCAGAATCTGCTGGAAAGTCTTTGGGGAGAGGAAGTCCAGAGTATAGTGCTGGCTGTTGCGGTGGAAGAGGATCTCAAACATCTTGCTGGTGCAGGCCAGCACAGTCCGGTGGGCGTGGAACTCCTGGCTGTCCACCATGATGACCACATCACACAGCGTCCCGGCCAGCCGCATCTGGTTGGCCTTGCACAGGAGCCCCGTGGGGTGGCTGGGGTTCTGCAGCTGGATCATGCCCATCTTTGTCAGATCCATGGTGCTCCCCACAGCTTAGGCATGAGGCTCTCTTTCCTTCCTGGCTCTGCGTGGTGGGGCAGGGTAGGTTTCCCAGGCCAATGGAGACAGCTAGAGAGGAAAAAGGGGAAAGAGAAAAAGGAGATGACAGAACAAAAGGCAGATTAGTCTGTGCCCCTAAAAGTAAGAATTCAAGTAATACAACACAGCACCCTGCCCTCAGTCACCCAGCAAGAGAACCCCAGAGATTTTCATGGAGAGGGAGGGGGCTTCCTGGAAATCTGGGAGTCTGCCTTCACAAACCCACAAATGAGAACAAAGAGAAACTTCTGCCATTACCTATGCCTAATTCACTGTTAGGTGAAGTAAACTGAAAATGACAGAGGAGTCTTCTAAGCCCTGGTCTTTCTATAAGTCTAAAAGTGGGGGCAGAGAGGATCCTGTGTAAGGCCAGCATGTTAGGAGGAAGCACCCAGCACTTACTGAAAATTAGTAAACTGAACCCCTTCAAATTAAGCACTCAATTTCCCTCTCAGCCCCCTATGCAGCAACCTTCATCTTCAAAGCAAAGTTTTTCTAAACCCTGCTTCACAGTGGTAGCCCCAGGAGTAAAGTCAAGCCTAGCTGGCCAAGCAGCCTGCAGTCCTGGCCCACAGAAGTCTATGGGCAAGGGCTGGCCTCCTCCAGGCCCATCCTCTGACCACCAGCCAGTGTCATCACGGGCCTCTGTCTTTCCACTCTTCTTAGCACTGAAAAGGACCCACAGACCCTGATCCCCTTTTTAGACACTAACAGGAACACACACACATCACCCACACATTAGCTTGGGTCACTTCCACCCATAGGTGCCTCAAAATTATTGTATGTGTGATCCAAAATCTGAACTCCATGCATTCATGTGTGTATACACCAACCAGAGAGGGAGAGTTAACACGTGGGTGTACACTTACATAACATGTTGCACTTACCTCCTGCCCACAAGTGCCCAGTGGACAGAAGGATCTATAAAATGTAGAAGGACAGGTCATGGAGAACCTAAGAAGAGAGATTATAAGAAATATGCACTCTTGCACCCAGGAGTGTACATGCCAAGAACATGAATTCCAAGTGTGTTCCACAAGCTCCCAGGAGTGGGCAAGTCCAGGAGCAGCAACTGATGCTGGACGTTGCCCCAGGGTGCTGTAAGTGATATTGGCACCAGCATTTATGGTGTGAGTTACAACCAGTATGAAGGAAGACAGGACTGGGAGACAAAGGCCTCTCCCAGAGCGCTGTTCAGGATCAATAACAGGGCTCTGGAACTCCTGAGCCTTAAAAAGAGTGTTAGATAGACCTCACAGGCCCAGTTCCCTCCCAGCCTCTGCCTTGCCGTGGTCAATATTGCAGTGAAATGAACTAGGAGCAAAGCAAAGCAAGGGTTCTTACTCACTCTACCAACCCTCCTTGCTTCTGCCCTCAGAAGGGGCCACATGGATTCTAGAGCCATAAATCTCTCGCGGGAAGGGGTAGGGACATGGCTAATTAAGACACATTTGCTGCCCACCCTGGTATCTAGACTCAGGCCACCAAGGGTTCGGGACGGCCACTCATGCCCGCCTTGCCACTATACGCTTTCCCGCAGACTTCGGGTTTCTGAGAATAAGGAGGGAGCAATGGAAAGAATGGAGGCTGGGCTACCTGAATTCCTTCCCAAAAACAAACTCTGGGTCCTCAGGGAAATCAGGCTGCTCTCAGTCAACCGTCACCCCGACCCGTGCGGCTCAGCGCCGGCGATTCGGACATCGCTGGCTGCAGCGCCCAGCCCGGCGGCGCGGGAGAAAGCCGGCGCTAACTCGCTCGAGCTCAGAGGATCGATCGCGCTCTCACACACCCCAACTTGCCAGCCACCACCACCCCCCCGCCCCCCGGAGACTTGGAGACGACTTCGGCAAACTTAGAGAAACAACTTTTCCCGGGGAGCCAGACGGTAGAAGGAAAAGGAGCCGGACTAGGGAAGAGGAAAAGCGAAAGAGACCGGGACGGAAAGCTAAAGTCGGGCAGGCTGGGCGCCTAGGCGAGCGGCGAGGAGGCGGACCCGCCCCGCCGCGAAGGGGAAGCACAAAAGCCCCACCGAGAGTTGTGGGAGAAAAGGCGAGACGAAATCCGCCGGCCCTCCCTCTCCGACCCAGGGCCGTGACCCCCGGGAGCGACGGGCAGGATCTCCGGCCTCGGTCCGGCGCCGCCAAGCAGCCAGCGTGCCCGGCCCAGGCACAGTGCGCGAGTACCGGGGAACCGGCGAGTGAGTCGGTACAGAGTGCGTCTGTGTGTTCCAGCGGGTCCGTGGGCCAGCGAGACCGCACGCATTTCGAGCGCCCGCGGGAATGTTCCAGGGGCTGTGCAAGAGAGTTCCCGGCGCACCGGGGTGGGAACGGCATCCCGAAAGCATCAGGTGCAGAGCCAGGCACCCACCGACTGCGACCGGGAGCGCACGGCGAGCTCCGGCGTCACGGCCAGTCCCGCCGAGAGCCGAAGAGGGCCCGGAACCCTGAAGACCCTCCGGAGCTCCGCCACGGCCGCCCCTCCCTCTTAAAAAGAAAGGATCAAGTCCAATCAAGAAGGGAAAGAAAGGGGGCCCATCGCGTTTTTCAAAGAAAAACAGACCCAGGCGAGTCCCAGTCCTGCTCCCCTTCCCCCCAGATCCACTCTTCTGATCCTCCAATTCTAGCTTCCCAGCCGGCCAGCAAATAAACACACAAACCACCACCGTATCTCGCGCCCGCGCACCGGTCCGCATACATATGAGCACCCACCGGCTCCCGGCTCCTCCACCGACCGCCGGCGGTACAAAGCCTCCCGATCCCCAACCCGCCGCTCCCGCCCTCAGCCCCCGCAGACCGCGCTGCCCCCACCTCTCGCCCTGACCGTGCCCTGGAGTGGAAGGGTTGGGGTGGCAGCTGCGCCCAAGCTGACAGCCGGGGCTCCTCGTTCTAGCCGACCCCCAACCGGTAGTGGCAACGGCTGCAGCAGCAGAAAAGGAACAAGCCGAATAAAACCAGGCACAAGCCGAGTGGCCGAGTGGCCGAAGCGAACGCGCCCCCCAGACCTCTCCAACCTAGGGGCGCCTCGGCGCACGGCTTTCGTTGGGCGGTGAGCACCTCCCCGGCCCCTCACTCACCGCTGCCTAGCCGGGCGCTGTGGGGTGGGTGTGCGTGCCTTTGGGGGCAGAGGGGGTGTGCCAGTGTCGGGGAGGGGTGTTGCTGGAGAACTGTTGCTCTCGGTATCACGGCGGCAGCGGCGGCATCGCCCGGCAGTTCGCAGTACCCGCTCTCATCGCCCTCAACTCCTCTCTGCTGCGAGGTTAGCAAATCACCACCGGCTTCGGCGCCTCCGCCGCGTCCCACGTCAACGCTGAGCCCCCTCCCCTGCGAGGCCCCGGCGCCTCTCCATCTTTAGTGCTGGCGGCGGAGCCGGGCGCTTTGCCCACAGCTGCCCCCCCCCCCACCTCCCACCCTGTCCTCCGGCTTAGCCCGCCCACACACCCCCCTTTCCCTCACCGTCCCCCTGCTCCCCCCACCCCCCGGCACTAGCCAAGCCGACGCGCGCTCCCCGCCCCACCCCTTCATTTCCCTCTCCTCCCATCCCCTCCCTTCCCGGCGCGCAGCGCTCCAGGCTTCGCCTGACATCTAGCTGCTGCTGGGGCGCCGTCGGCCGCCGCTCACCGGCCAAGCGGAGAGGAAAGGAGGAGCTCAAGGAGAAGAGTGCCACGGGCTCGGAATCCTTAGTTGGGGGCACTGGCGTTGAGGTGCGGGAAGCAGCCCCCACCTTCAACTCCCGGGTTTTTAATTCCCACTGGACACGGGTTTTGTTTCCCCTACTCTTCTCCAGGAGCAGAGTTTTGTCCCTGGCTCCAATGTTTGCCCCAATTCAGGGGATGTCATCTCGCTTTTCACTTTTGCTCCGGGCTCAGGGCTGCATCCTCTGCACGCTGAAGGTCGGTTTTAGAGGGTCTCTTTCCCAGCCCTAGCTCAGGCCTTCTGTGCCTCCCGGCTGCGATGTGCCTCTGGGCGATGAGCAAACGAATTGCGAGAAGTTTCCAGGCGCAGGATTCGCGGGCCCTGGTGAACCAAGTAGAGAGCGTCCGCGGGAATCCAGCGCTGGAAGTGGACGCCCGATTTTAGCTGTCGTGACCCCTGAGACCTGAGGACGAAGCCTAAGAGAATCTTTTATCCCTCTCAGTCTTAAGCGCGCCCTCGGCTTTAACCCCCAAGGAACCTGGTTGGAAGCAGTTCCCCAGACCTGTGCCCTCTTCAGCGCAGTCTTCAGGGGGAGATGAAAACTTGGAGAAGCTCCAGACCCCCGAGTGCCTCACCCTCTCAGCTGCTGGCTGCTCCACTTTAGAGTGGAGCTCACTAACCTCGGAGTAGAGCACCAGAAATAATCTGCCCTTCCCCAGCGGCGGAGAGCCCCCTTGGAGAGTCCCTTTCTCCCCTCTTTCCCTGGAGTTTGACGACAGTAGTGGGCAAGAGGTGGGAAGCGCTCTTCTGGGTGCAGGCCGCGGTGGCCAACTAAGCTTCAGAAGCGTAGTGGTGGTGTCTCTGGACAGTCAGCCCCTGACGTCACGCAGCCAGGGATGCCGGGTTTCAATCACGGAGTCCTGAGTCTCTATATTCTGTCCCTGACACGCGGGTGGGTCAAAGGTTTTCCGCAAGACTCACGTATAATCACATCCCCATGTGTGTCTCTGGCGCTGCCCCAGACGGAAAATCATGCCCCAGGAACTGTAGGGTCATGGAAGTTGGCAGAAGCCAACTAGAGACAAGAAAAAAATCTGCTTCCGGCTGCGAAAAGCCAGGCGGCAAAGTTTACAAATCAGAACTGATCTGGGTTCCCAAGAGCTGCTAATAGGGTAGTCCCAAGGACAGGCAACTCCATCCCAGCAAGCATCGGTCTTGTCTCCTGCTCCCAGGAAAGTGCTGGGACCTGCGGGAGTCAGGGAAAAGGAGAGGACGGCAGAGGGCAGTCCTCTTGGAACTGCAACACCTACCTGATGCATGGGAAAGCCCAGGTCCTGGGTATTCCTTTTAATTAACAATAAAGACAATTTTTCTAGCTAAGGTCTACGCAGTCTGTAAGTGCAAAGGGATTTAAAGAAAGTTAAGAGAACTGGCCTGCAAGGGGAGGAGAAAAGACCCTCCTAATGCCTCACCAGGGAAATGGAGAATCATTAAACTTAACTGCATTTCTGCCTAAATGGTGCCTACTAAAGGTTCCTGCCTCACTGTCCACATCCACTAGGAGCCCCTCCCAAGTGCAGTAGCATAAGAAACACACAATTAGCCCTTGGTCCTAATCTTCTATTAATCCTCAAATCAGAGAAAGAGAGTATCTCTGGAGACAATGGGAAAGAAAAAACAATTCCTCCATAGCACTGGACTCCCCCACCTCCATACCATATTCACTCTATGTGAAAATCTCCCTTGCTTCATAAACTCTGCCCATTAAAAAGCCCAACCCTTGTTAGTAAGTGTTAAAGAGAGATTAATGTCTGAATTTAAGAGGTGGAGAAGGTAACAAAAAGGAGGAAGGCAGGCGAGGCTGCGGGCTGAGTGCCAGCATTGGGCTCCCAGCATTTCCACTTAGCGCTGAAGGCTGGCTGCACAGCAGTTTGATAAGGTTTATTGGGCCCAGATAAAGCGGCAGCAGCTCTGCCACCAAAACTGGCACCATTTACAGCCAGAGCTATGTCCTTGGGGCCCCGGAAGGCTGATGAGAATCCCCAGTTCAGAGATTTCATATGGCAGCACCTAAAAACAAGCAGGATGGAAAATTACAAGAGAAAACACACTCTCCCCCCAGGCCCCTCACACACACAACTTTAATGTTCATATATTTGTAGGGATTTCTTTTTCCTTTTTTTCTTGAAGGGTATATGGTAAGAGACACTGGGACACCAGTTCTTGACAGGTCCTAAAAATAGAAGAGCCCTCGCTCTGGGGAGAGGTCATGTTGGAGACAGGGGAATAGATGAATTGACCTTTGGATGGAATTCCATTGCTAAATCTCCCTATTCCCTCATCTCCTTTTTTATTCATATACTTCCCACTGGCAGCAGCTAGTCAGAGCTCAGTTTGTGGAAGAGGAGGGTATATCAGGTCTAAGAGATCTTACAGGAAGGAGACAGTGGGAATAATAACTCATTTTGAGCACTGACTCTGAATCTTAATGCATTACCTATGTTGTTTATTTAATCCTTATAACAACCTATTAATGCAAGTGCTTTTACTCCCCCATTTCTGCAGATGAGAAAACAGGTTCAGAGAGATGAAGTGTGTTACCCAAGACTACACAACTATGAAACACCAAAGCTGAAGCTTAAAATCAGAGGATTCTGACTGCAAAGCTCCTGATGATCTTAAACTTCAGATTATACAGTCTCTAGTGGGATAGAAAATCCTACTGGTCTAGTGGGAGACGGGGGCTTTTCATGTTTCATCTCCTCTTACTCCTCTGAGGCCAAGTTCTGTGCAGCAACCAGCCAAGCCTAGGACCAGACAGTTCTCCTCTGAATCAGGCTCCCAGGTAAATAGACTTAGATCTTCAAGGATTGCTGCACTTTCCATCCTTCCTCAAAATCTCAGGCAGAAATGGAGGAGGGTGTTTTGAATTACAATAAAACTTGAACTAAACAGCTGCCCAGGAAGAAGGTTGTAGTGGCGTTTTAAGTATTCTGATTGAGTGTTAATGGAATATTGCAACTCATTTTGTTCCAACTCCTCATTTGGAAAATAGTTTTAAATTTTAAAAGTAAACTTTCCTACCATGATAAATAAGTCAAGACCTCCAACCTTTGGGGAGAAGCTACTGTGCATTTCCCCAAAACCTTGTGATGAGTGGGGGATGAAGCATTTTCAGAGAAAGAGGCAAGAGTAAATCAATGGAAACAAGTAGTCCCCTCTACCACTGAGAACTCCAAGTTGCCACTGGAGGATGCACCAGGCTGTCACATGCACTCTCAGATCTTTACCTCACTAGGGACCCTTGGGGGAAGACGCAGCAAACCTGTTGTGTACTTTTCTTGTGGCAAAGGCTCTTACAGTGCTTTAAGGTCATTATTATAACTATCTACTAGCTAAATGCACATGATGTCAAAAATTAGGCTGAGTCACCCCGGCCGGGTGGCTCAGTTGGTTGAGCATCAACCCATGCACCAAAAGGTTGTGGGTTAAGTCTTCAGTCAGGGCACATACCTAGGTTGTAGGTTTGATCCCTGGTCAGCCAATTGATGTATCTCTCTCACATCGATGTTTCTCTTTCTCTCTCTCTCTTCTTCTCTCTCCCCCTCTTCATCCTTCTCTAAAATCAATAAAAAAAATATATCCTTGGGTAAGGTTAAAGTGAGCATTTTAAAAAAAGTTAAGCAGAGTCAAATTTGCCCTCAGTACATACAAGGTGGGGCAAAGTAGGTTTACAGGTGTTCATATGGAAAATAATACAGTAATTAATAAATAATACAAGAATAGCCCTGGCTGGTGTGGCTCAGTGGATTGAGTGCCAGCCTGTGAACCAAAGGATCGCCAGTTCAGTTCCCAGTCAGGGCACATGCTTGAGTTGCAGGTCACATCCCCAGTTGGGGGCATGGGAGAGGCAACCGCACGTTGATGTTTCTCCCCTTCTCTTTTTCCCTCCTTTCTCCTCTCTCTAAAAACAATAAATAAAATCTTAAAAATAAATAAATAGTGCTCGCTTCAGCAGCACATATACTAAAATTGGAACGATACAGAGAAGATTAGCATGGCCCCTGCACGAGGATGAGACGCAAATTCGTGAAGCGTTCCATATTTTTAATAAATAAATAAATAAATAAATAAATAAACTGTTTCACATACTCACAACTGTCAACCTACTTTTGTCTCACCCTGTATGTCGATAGTTTTCTGTGTTTCGCCTTTTTTAAAATGTTTAATTCTTTTATGTCACTTCCTTAGATGCCCCCTCCAAAAAACAGAGGGGGAAATAATCAAGTGATATGTAGGTGGATTCTGGTTAGTTGAAACCCAGAAAACCAAATAAGATTATTTCTTTAATTAGTAATTTCCGTCCTCTCCCTCTCCTCACCCTCACCCCCCTCCACCAGTCCTGGTTAGTGCTGTTCATCTTTAGGGCAGAGAATGACTTTCAAAAAGAGACAAAGAGGGGTTATTTCTTTTAGCCCTTGAGGCCTTGAGTTGCTATGACCCCAAGATCTTTATGATTGAGGAACAGAAAGCTTTTTCTATTCTCTCTCCCCAGCATATTGCAAATGGTGTTGGGACCTAATGTTGTCAACTCAAATAGCAAATCTGAGTTGTTATTAGTGCAAAGATGCCCTGAAGGGGTAGGCAGTGTGGATGAAATCTGCAACGGATGTTATGGGAAAGTGTGTTTATAATTATAATGGGATTTAATGTACACTGGGACCAGATGATGGCAGCCATTTAAAAAAGAGATGCTTAATAAGAGAGGTCCCTTAATGACGAGCAGCAGAGCTCAGGTTATTATGGAAGAAGCACAGCATTTCAGTGGGTGTCACAAACCCTGAGCCAGGTTTTATGGGGTTTCTGACAAAGCTTTGGGGTAAGACATAGCCACCGTTGCTGTCAGCTATTGGGCATAATTTCTTAATGCTGTCTTTGAAAGGGATCTGCGCATAAGAGAAAGGCGTGTTCTCCCTTTGGATACACATAAGCACAAACACACAGGTCCCCGGCCAACACTGAGCAGTTTTTGGCAACCCTGGAAATCTACTTTATTCTGAGAAAGTCAGTCTCATTTTCAAAGCCTTGTAGCTGTCGAGAGGTGCAGTTTCCATATAGTGAGTGTGAATTGAAGCAGCGTGACTCCCAGAGTCCCACAGCTAAATCCCCAGGCTCTGTGCTGAAATCTAAGCCCTAAATCCTGATCAGAAACAGGGGCTTTCCTAACACTTCGGTGTTTCATTGTGGAGAGACCAGGAAGAGGGAAGTATGTAACATTTTCTTAGGCTATTTAACTTGTGAGGTGTGTCAAATTCCAGACTTCAATCCCTATAGATTTCAGTCCTGGTAGCTCTTTTACAACCAGAGTCACACTCACTGGAGGTCCCACCAGAAGCACCGTGGCCCAGAAATACCACTCATGTCTAAGTTGCACTATTCTGTATATCTCCCCGCTGATGTGAGAAAAGTGCATGAAAACTACTGTGTTCATGTCGTACAGGACTCATCTGTGATTATTGTGCTTTCTGTTCACCAAGCTTATGATCAGTCTCAGAGTCTTTAAAGCAGAATATTTCATTTTCCTGACAAGGAAAAAAGACAAAAGGTAAGTGAAAACTGAACTTCTAGTCATATACTCTCTGAAGCTGAATT